TCCTAGTCTTCACTCCTCTTCACATCTGCAGCCATCTCACCGCATCTGCGGCCATACCCACCGCAGGTGCAGAAGCACCAGAACCCTGAAGCTTCAGCCAGCACTCTAAGACCAAAACTAATCTGAATTCAATCCCAATCGCACCCGAGGCGTCGGGACCCCATCCGAACATACCAACACGTCCTAAAACACGATACGAACTTAGTCGAAGTCTCAAATCACATCAAACAACATCAAAATCATGAATCGAACCCCAATTTGAACCCAGTAAAACTAATGAACTTCCAACTTCTAAAATCAATACTGAACAATATCAAATCAACTCCGAATGACCTCAAGTTTTGCACATTAATCCCAAATAACCCAACAAACCAATTCCAACTCCCGGAACCAAAATCCAAATCCGGTATCAATAAAGTCAACTCTCGGTCAAACCCTCTCAACCTCCATACCTTCAATTTTTCAACTTTTGCCAAAATGCACCAAATCAACCCGCGGACCTCCAAATCCGGACATACCCCGAAGTTCAAAATCACCATACAAAGCTATCAGAACTATCAAAACTCCATTCCGGAGTCATATACATAAAAGTCAAACTCCAGTCAACTCTTTCAACTTAAGCTTCCAACCTTAGGACTATGTGTCCCAATTCACTTCGAAATATCCCCGAACAAAACCAACCACCCCGGAAAGTCATGTAACCACAAGTGAATATAGAATAAGCATTAAATAAAAGAACATGGGTACAATACACAAAACAACCGACACTACTAGAAATTCGGCAAAAACCAACCACGGTCGATCGACTAATTTTGGTCGATCAAACAACCGGCCAAAAAACCGATCAAAGTTTGTCAATTTTTCAAAATATTTTATTTTTTAATTTTTTTTACGAAGCCGACCAACTTTGGTCTGTTTTCTGTGGCGTAAAAATGCGGGAAACTATTTTTGAGACTCGCAAAATTTATTTTTCAAGAAACCGATCAACTTTGATCGGTTTTTTATTTAAAATAAATTAAATATAATACTAAAAAACGACCGATTTCGGTCGTTTAATTCGCCCGGTCATTTTAAAAAAGCTGATCGAATTTGCTCGATAATTTTATTTTTTAATAAAACCGACCAACTTTGGTTGGTTATTTTCGGGCGAAAATACAATTAAAGAGTATAAATGAAATAAAAGACAGTCTTAAAACAAAATGCGCCAATGGTCTAGTGGTAAAATAGTATCCTACCACAGTACAGACTCCGGTTCGATTCCCAGATTGTGTATTTTTTAATTACATAATTAAAATAAATTTTGGTCGGTTTTTTTACATTTTTTTTTTAATTTAATTTACCGACCAAAGTTGCTCGGTAATTTTCGAGCAACTTTGGTCGGTATGCCCTTCCGACCTTCAAAATACCGTCCACACATAAATGGTCGCGTTTTGGACGGTTATTGGCCATTACATACCAACTTTGATCGTTTTTTTGGACAGTTTTGCCCGGATTTCTAGTAGTGCAGCCGGGTCGTTACAATTTTGTATACTAAATTGTGTTTTAAAGTAATATATGTTGGATTTTCTATTGGCATTGCTGCTATTTTTTTTAATATTAGCAAATCGGCCCTTTATTTATATTATATAAAAAGTGGGAAGCCCTTAATTAAAATGTTAAATTACTAAAATATTCTTCCTCAAAACTTAAATATCCTACTTATAAATAAATGTATAATAATATTACTTATTAAGAAGAAGAAAACTAATCTTTGAAGTGTCCTTTCCAAAAAGTTGTGTCTTTTTAAATAAGCAACTAACTATCGTTTTCCATAAAATCCATTCAACCATTTGTTTAAATATTAAGAGCAAAAGCATGAAGATTTCGAACATCAACGATGTAGGGAAGCGGGAGCACCGATCACAAAGTAGAGGAAAAGAAGGAAAATACTATGTATCTTTTGTTTGGCCGTCCAAAGGATTTCATCGGTACAGCATCCTATGGACCAACATAAACATCACGTAAGTTTTAACTATTTTCCTCGATTTAAAGAAAATAATAAGTTTCATGTCTTTTACCAACACTTGTTGAATTTTTTAAATTTATGGCTGCTTCTGATTATTTGATTTTTGACTATTTCGAAAAGTTATTCGGCTTCTTAAAAAAACAGTGTATAAAATTTCAAGGATTACATGTCAAAGATTATAATTAGTACTATAAATAAAATTTAACTTTTATTCATTAATAGTATAAAATATTTTACAGTATTAGATCTCTTAAAAGTAAATTAATATAAGTAATTACTTAGTTAATAGAATTCGCATGTTAAGTCGTATTGATAATATAATTTTTTTATAGACATAGTTAAATTCCTATAAATATTGTGAATTCATGATTGAAAATTAGAAAATAGAACTACAATGTGAAAAATAAAATAAATTAAAGAGCACATAGAGATGATTGGTAGTTAGATATCATAAAAGTAGAAAGAGAAATATAAAAGTAAAAAGTAATCTAATTTAAAGTGTCAATTCTAAAAAAAGAATCATATTTATTTAACTGGTTGATCGTTAATCAATTAATGACAGAAAAAGAATAGCTATTATTTTGGCATTTTGATATTTCTATTAGGTCAGTTTATCCAGGAAAGCATATTTACTCTTTTGCATGGGTTCCTCATCCAATTTATTTTAGGAGGTATTTGATCATCTTGAGCCTCTAACTCCTGTTCTTGATTGATGTTCCCACTTCACAGTTAATCATCGTGATTGGTTTAAAAGCAATGGTGCTAGAAGAATATTTATGCTGAATGTTTCTGGAAGTTGTTTGACTAAAAAGTGTTTCTTTTAGTTAAACTAATTAATGATGAGATATAAGATGAATCTTAGTTAAGGATAATAAATTCTAAACTAAATATATTAAGGAATCGATGTAGTGAACGACGTTTGATAGTGTTAAAGAACACGTTTATATACAATGAATGCTAGTGATGTGATAACATAAATATGCCATAAATGTAGAAGATGGCAATAAATGTAATAAGAAGGAATCTACTGCCCAATTATACTATGATTTGGATGATTCCTTCCCCTGACAGCAACGTGGAAAGAAGAGAAATGAAGGGGGTTATAGAATCTTTGGATCTTGTGGATCAAGATCGAGTAACATGCACTTGAATAATATAATCAATGAACAAGACAACTTTCCGTATATTCTCTTGAGCCAACCTTTTACAATGTATTTTTGTCAGAAAGTGAAGATCCCCCTCTTATTCTTTATCTTTTTCTATTTATAAGGGATATCTCCAAGAAACCATAAAAAGTATACAACATAAGGAATATCAAAGGAATATTCCTTGTATTCATATCTGAACCTATCCTGCCGTTATTTCTTCACTTCAAATTGTTCGTCCTTGACAATAGCCCTCTCGAGGACGGCTTCCCATTATTACACCGTGGTCGACCCCGTCCTTGATCCCGTTTATCTACTATTACCAAATCGCCAAATTTAGACCAATACCGAAGTATATTACAAGAGTTATATAGCTTTTGTTTTCTTTATACAGGGAGATGTTCTGTGCAATACGATGGGTAGAATAGTCCTGCCAACTCTAGGGGATTTGACCTACATAGGCAAATTATTATAACTACGGCTTTATAATTTTAAACTTTACCTTAAGTGTATTCTAAGCCTTTTGTAGTGATTGATTTCTACTCCACTGTTTGCCGAGAAGGAAAAATAATTGGGTTACCATCTCAAAGTCCTCTGTTATGTTAGACCCGTGCACAGCACGAGCATAACTTTTACTAGTTTCTTATATAGAAAGAAAAAAAGTTTCAGTCAAAAAATAGAACAAATAACTACGAACCGAGGTATTAAGTCAATGAAGATGGGATAAATGTCAATTACTAATTTTTCTACTAGATGGAAGTTTCTAATATGCTGGCATTGAAACTTGGACTGGATTCGAGGAATAAATTAGTACTAATTACTTTTCAAATCCATCTTATTCTGTTCCAACTGAAATGTTATTTCTATCAATTTATGGCTGCTCTAAATTCTCCATTCATAAAATTAAGGTTTAAGTTTGGATATTATTTTGTCAAAAGAAAAGGTAATTCATTAATTATAGTTACGACAGAAAAAGGAAAAAGAATTTTGGAGGCTCAAGTTCTGAGGATTTTTGGGGGAGAATATCGACCAAAAAAAATAAAAATCTAATTCGGTATGTTGTATACAAATATTATATACTTTTTCAGCCAGATATAAATCTCCTATTTCCTTCCTTGTTTTCCTACTCTACTTCTGTCAACTCTTTCATATATCACTCGCGGGGTTGGGACTTTATGGTTCCATAGAGCCTCATTCCTTGCCCTCCATATTCTATATGGTAGCGCAGCCACCATTGATCCCTGCATATTTTTCCTTTGACCCCTTTTACTACTCAGTGCCAAATCCCCTTTAGATCAGTTTTTGTTGTGCCTCTGTGTACCCACTGTAGCATCATCTGTAGGCATATCTCAAATAGTTTGCATTCAAACAATATGTGTTTCACTGTCTCCGGCTGGTTTCCACATATCAGACACCAGTTATCTTGACTTATCTTCATCTTTAGCAGACCGGCCTTCTTTAGTAGTCTCTTATGCATGGCAAGCCAACTGATGAAGCAGTGCTTGGTTACATTGAGACTGCTCCAGACCCCTCACCATCCTGTTTTAGCCATTCATTATTCACAAGCCCTCGTGCCCAAACTTAGCCCATTACTAATGTAGGTCATGCCCATCACATTAAAACTTGGGCCGGTTGGGCGAGTCAAACGGGCTTGGGCTCTTTTTGCTAGCGCTACTGCTAACTAAAGACATGAATTCGAAATATTTTAATTTTTTATGTAACTTGAACTGTCTGCTTCCTCTAACAAAAAGATCTTGCACCAAACTCTTAATTATTTCTACCATATTCCTCTGCTTGCCCATGAACAATCTAAAGTTCTTTTTTTGCTAAATATAATATACANATCACCATTACAATTGTACCCTACGGGTTGTCATGCTTTGAAAACGATCAATAATCGCATCATTTGGTATAGTTTCTAATACTTCATCTTCTATATAACAAACTAAACAGTCATTCAAAAATTCATCACCAATTCTGCTACGCAAGTCATTTTTGATGTACTTCATTGAAGAAAAAGCTCTTTCTACCGTTGCAGTAGCGACATACAATATCAGACTTAACTTCACAAGCAAAAAAATAAGTCTCCAAGTCTTGTACAAATCTGCTTCAACTAGTGTTTCTGAAAGATCTCCAAGTCCTTTCAAGTTAGAAAAATCGTTGTCTTCTTTCACAAAGAGAATATAGTTGTCAAGCTCGTAACTGAGATCTTCAAGCTTTGAACCACTAAACTCGTGAGGACAAAGTGTAGCAAGTTTCATAATTCTTTCTTTATCATAATTTGCAAAAAAATTATCCGGACTCAAACTAGCCATACCAAGAAGTAGATTACTATTCACCGCATCAAAACGACTGTTAAGCTCTGAAAGTTGCAAATAAATAACAGTATTAAAAACTTCGACACACAAATGATGAGAATATGTAACACTTGAACTCCTACGCTTTGACTTTCCAAGATGATAGTTCTTATCCATTTCAGGGATCACAATATCATGCTTGGCACAAAATGAAGAGGCATCATTTATCAAAGATTTCCATTTAGATTCTCTCATCCCTTGCAATTGCCTCTTGGCGAAACCAACAAGCTTCGTAGCATTTACAATATCCTGGTCTTTTCTTTGCAAAGCCATATTCAAATCATTTGTAATTGCCAATAATTTTAACATCAAGTGCATCATATGCACAAACTCAAAAGATCTTATGTCATTCACTAAACTTTTTGCCACTGATCTCTCTAGATAATTTGCACCCTCACTTGCAAGAAACTCAAGTACATTAATGATAGACGAGAATAATGTAATAAAGTTACGCACTGTCTTAAAATGAGAACCCCATCGAGTATCACCTGACCTTTGGAGTCCAAGTTCTTGATTTAGTCCACTTCCTGTATGAACTTCACCAAGCACTTGTAGCTCCTCTAATTTTTTTGCTTGATCCTCTCGAAGCATATCCCTACGCTTAAAAGAACTTCCAACAATATTCAAGACATTAGCAACAATATCAAAAAATTGATCTACATCACAATATTGTTTTGCAACGGCTACAAGAGTCAATTGCAACTGATGGGCAAAGCAATGTATACAATATGCTGAAGGATTATCTTTCAGAATTAAAGTTTTAAGACCATTGATTTCTCCTTGCATGTTACTAGCTCCATCATAACCTTGTCCCCATATTTGAGATGGACTCAATGGGTGCTCTAAAAGAAAATCATAGATTGCTTTTTGTAATGACGATGCAGTTGTTTTTTTAACATGAACAATACTAAGGAATCGCTCAATAAGTTTGCCCTCTTTGTTGAC